CTACGGGGATGTATTAAATCCACCGGCGCTAGACCATACCCTTTATGCCCTCGTTTCGTAAATGTCCGTGTATATCTTTATCGTCGAGTCTATGCAGCCGTGCGAGTGGCTTGTAAAAAAAGGAACGAGGACGTAGAGATATTTCATTCGGGCCAGCGCGAGAGAGTCCGAGGGACGTTCCATTAGTGCCCCTCGTTCAGCAAACTCATCATTATCGCGGATGTAATGGGGTAGGTGCACACCTGCTTGGACTTATCCTCTTTTATTCCATTCTTGTTGTTTCTCTTCTTTTTAAGAGCGTACACCGTCTGTCTCCGTCATTACGCGACGAAACGTTAGACAGAGTCGCTTTTTTATTTAGGGCTATTTTACAGAAATTTTGAGAGATGAATTTTCGGTACTTTTTTTAAAAATAAAAATGGGAATGGTCGATCGAGACAAATTGACTTTTCAGATGAACGAATCGCATATGCATTGTTAAACAGAGGACTTGTTGTGGCTTACATCGATCACGATGGCACGAAGTTCGAAAGTAATCTGGATTAAAGCGCTTCATCGTTTATTTATTTGCTCGAGTCACGCATCACGCTTGCACTCGAATCGAAAGTGTCTCGTGTAATCTACGACAATCTTTTTGATATCTTTACATATTGTTTTACCGTGTTTTGTGCCATATTTGCCGTTATCGCGACATTTAATATTCTACAGAATCGCTCCACGGGCTATCGAACAGAATTCATTAGCTGATCTCATTTAATTCTTGATTGTCGCAAATTGACAATATACAATTTTATGGGCCCATTAAAAATATAAGTAATTAAAGAGCGATTGCGGCAAAACTCAATTCACTTAACATGAATCGCAGTGCCGGCGATATCATCGAGTTCGTCAGTTAGATTATTCAGGTGCGAATTACTTTCGCTATTGCACTTAACTAATTGGTCCATTAAATTATGCGTTGCGTTTAATCAGAGGATATCACGTCGTTCGTATTCAAATAATATATATATATATATATATATATATATCGTCGACCGTCCTACAAATTCGTATTCACTGCGAATCGCAAGATAATTTGTCCCTATCATTGACCCTTTAATCATAGTAATAAGTAGCATATCGGATTAAAAATTATCTGACTCATAATCGATGTTCTATGGCTCAAAAGCCGTTTTTTAAAGCTCTTGAAAAGAAGTTCCTAATCGCGACTGATGAGGAGACGAATAAAGATCTAAGCCTCATAATTGGCGTTTGATCATCGACTTAGGAGAAGGCTCTATGCCAAACTGTCGCTACCTCATAATCAATCAAAGGGCTGGCGTGATTAATAGCCGGAAGATAATGAAAAATGATCGGCCGAGAACGACGCATGCGCCCGTATTCGATTGCTTCGCATCGAGATTATCACTTTCGAATGATATCCATTAATGATCACGATCATCCGATGTGTAATATAGATTAATAAAAGAAGAAATTTTTGAAATTTTTCATTCAACTGTCTCGTGGAAATCTATGGGTGATTAACTTCTTTAGATCTTTCTAATATTAATGAATGAATAAAAATGAAAGGAAGAAAAAAGATTCTCGATATCAATAGGCAAAGTAAGGCTAATCATCAAGAGAATCAACGCTGTAAATGATGCGCAATTATATATTTAATTTTAATTTAGTTTATTAATAAAAAATGCCAAACGTTTCGACTCGAATTTAAGTTTTCAGTTGTATAAAAATAGTAGTAGGAATGTATTCTTGAATTTAATCCGTAAACCCAATCATAAAAAATATGTGTTGCTCACGTCGATTAACCAAGTGAAGTTATTAATTAGTTTCTAAAAAAACTTTTAAGATAAGATGGCACACTCAAATCATTCGTATGAGGTAAAAATGAATGAATTGTTATTCAAGAGATAGACATAGGTCACAATAAGAAGAAAAACGCAAAGATTGCAATATAATTTTAATAGTATAATAATAATATAATATAATAATAGTATAATAGTTGCAATAATATAGTATAATGAGAGATAGTTACACTTCCAGTTCAAAGCAAAGATTGAGAACAATGATAATTTTAACAAGATTAACAAGAAACAACCAAAAAACAGAAATAAATTTATAATTTGCTCAAGATGGAAACATATCCATGATGTTAATACTCAGTATCGAATTGTGAATTTAAACTATTTATTATTCTGTCTTTTAATAAAAAGCAAGAAATCAATCATTTTTATAGATTACGTTTCCAGTCCAAAATTTTAATGTCAATCTAAACAAATTCATGATCACAATTTAGATTTGGCATTTGTTAACATTTGACGCTTTTTATCAATAACTAAATTAAATTTAAATATATGATTACGCATTGTTTACAACGCTGATTCTTATTAGTCTCACTATTGCCCAAAAGAAAGAAAGATCTAAGATGACATCGTATTCCACCGAACTCGTGGCGACTACTACTCGCCTTCTAATTGTCTCATTCGCGGATATTTCTCAATTCGGCAAGTGTGCCTGTATTTGCAGCATGTTCCGATTTAGTACTTAATTCAGGTATCACCTGTGTACTTAAGCACGCGCGCTTAAGGCTCACGCACACCGCACCGTATCACGCTATAACGCTGCGAGCTAAATCAAACAACGCCGCAAATTGCAAATGGGAACTAATTGCTTTCGCGCTTTACTTACAACCGCAGTAACGTTTTAACAAGCTTCGACGCAGAGGCTTCGGCCTTGAGAGAGAGAGAGAGAGAGAGAGAGAGAGGGAGGGGG